CCTTCCCCCATTCGTCTCTTTCAGACTAGGCGCGTCTCCGAGTGTTGGGTTGAATGGGAAAGAACGGGGCCGTCTTTGTCATTAATCCTCCCCTCCTTCGGGCGAGCCAAGCTTCTTCCGGGTCAGCGACAATACCGCCACCCCAATCGGGCCCGCGGTCCCCCATCCTGCTAGCCCTGCACCCGCGAGGGCCAGGTCGCCACCGCCCGCAGGTTGCGGGAGGGGAGGAGGGCGAGGAGAAGGGCGGGCGGCGCGGGAGAGGGGGAGGGAGGGAGGGAGGGGACAGCAATCCGAGGAGGAGGAGGAGGAGAGAGCAGCCTACCGCAGCTGGCGAGGAGAATGGGAGTGCGGGGCGCCAGACCGCCGCGGGGTATCACGGCCGCGGCCAAGCTTGCCAAGCGCGGGGCAGGCGCCCGCCGCTTTTAAACCCGGGAGGGCGCGGCGGCCGCGGAGGCGGGCGGATCAAGGCGCGCGCGGGGCGCCGGGTGGCGGCCGGATGGAGAGGAAGGGCTCGGCGGCCGCGGCCAAGGGGAACCCGAGCCCGCCTGCGGCCGGCGAGGCGCAGCGGCCGCCGCCGCCACTGTGCGTCCCGGGCGGCGGCGGCAGCGGGGTCCCGGCGCGCAGCCAGGCTGGGGCGGCGGCCGAGCCCGCCGAGTTCATCAGGCGGGCGCACGAGTTCAAGAGCCAAGGGGCGCAGTGCTACAAGGACAAGAAATTCCGCGAAGCCATCGGCAAATACCACCGGGCGTTGTTGGAGCTGAAGGGGCTGCAGCCGGCGCCCGGGGAGCAAGAGCGGGACTCGCGCGCGGCCTCCCCGCCCGGGGCCCCAAACCCCGGCCGCCTCTCGGAGGAGCAGAGCAAGACAGTGGAAGCCATCGAGATCGACTGCTACAACAGCCTGGCAGGTGAGCTGCGCCGCGCCGCGCCCAGCCCCTCCTCCCCTGCCTGCCCGCCCCCCCGCCCGGCGCCCGGCAAGGGGCCCCGGCCCTCCGGTCCCAGCCGACCGCTGCGGCGCGCCCGCGCTGCCCACTTCCCCGCTGGCACCGTGCTGCTCCGGGATGGAGGACCCGGGAGGGGGGCGCTTTGGAAAAAGTGACTTTTAGGATTACACCTCCCAAAACTCGTTGTCATCCTGTGTCCCTTCCCCCTCATCCATCGTAAATCTCACCTAAAAATAACTGGACAGACGGAAGGAGCCCCGGCTGGCCTGGTGGCGATTGCTGTTGCTACTGCTCACCAGTGGACCTGGGTCCAAATGCGGGAAGTAGCGCCCAGGGTGGGCACCCGCACCCACCGCACGCCCAGTGGCCCCTTTCCTCGGGTATCATTGGCACGAGAGCTCGCCCTCACCTTGCCCTCAACTGACAGCATCCCGATGGGTAAAGTCCTTCCTGCCCCAAGTTCCCTTGGCCTCGGTAGCAAAGGGCAGTTTGTCACGATGCCTTCAGCATCTTGAGCAAAATGGATTCCAAAATGCCACTTTCTTCTCTCTGAGCTCTGCTGGGGCCCCTGGTTGCCAGGTGAAGAGAGCGATCTCAAAGGGAGGCTAGTTCATGGTTGGGCTTGAGCTGTGTGCAACATCCTCGCTCCGTGTAGCACTGGTCCTCTCCCAGCTGACTGCGAGGCCTGAGGGCAAAGGGGGCCCCAGCAGAGCTCAGAGAAGGTGAGGTATACATTCCAGAGTTCACTTTGGGGATTTAGGTCAAAGTCAGGCATTTTTAAAAATTTAACTTTGCCACAGGAAATTTAAAGTCTCTTTAAAAAAAGGAAGAGCTTGGGTCATTCCAGGGCCTTCCTGTGGGAAGGTGGGAGATGTTGGCAGGCGCAATGGCCTTATATTTGGAGGGGCATTCTATACTCCTCTCTCACCCTGTTTGGTGGGATTTGGGCATGGTCCAGCTCCTCTGGCCAAATAAAAGGCCATTACTCCTAGTCCCTAACCCTTGAAGTTGCCTAAACTAGCTCTGGACAGCTGGAGCACAGGAGCTTCAGGAGAGTGACTGGGTGTGGCCTGGGGAGGGTGAATGTGTTTTGGGCACAGGAAGTTGGGGGATGAAAAAAAAATATATCAGTAATTCTGCTCTGTTCCCTCTGAGGTGTCTAGTGCCAGGCTGACTCTGTGTTCCCATAATGCCATGCCCAGTATCACCTTTAATCAGGCAAAACCCAGCCACTTTATAAATTATAGTTTACAAATGTAAGGGATTAATAGACCAGTAGCAGTTGTAAAAATAGTGGTGCCCATAGCAGTCCTAGTAATAATGGCACTAGGTAAAGTAGTCCTATAGCAAAGATGGACTATCTCAATCCATCATAACGTGCAGCTTGATTCTCTTTATTTCCTGTAAGCCTCTGGCATACTTGCTTCTGCCTGATGAATAGTTAAAGGGCAGAGTGGCCGTGGGTGGAGGAAGAGGCACTCTGGATCACTAATGCGGTGATTTCAGAGTGGTAATGGAGTCTTATATTTAGTCTTAGCCATGGGCATTTTAGGGTTGCCCCTCACCCCACGCTTTTGGCTGCTGGCCTGTGGCTAGGACTGCCTATTTCCTACCCAAGAGGTGGTCACATTTCCTTGGTGAAACCAAAGATGTGTCCTTGGTTAGGCAAGCCCAGTCAGGGCAGGGCTGAGATCCCGCCAGCTCCTGACCCCCGCCCCCACCCCCACCCTGCAGGCACTTGGAAAACTTCAGTGGTGAGAGAGTGGAGAGTAGCAATAGCAGATTTCCCCTCTGCTGCCTTCTCCAGCGCTCACCCCTTTTCGTATTAATAATTTACTGTGTGCACTGTGCTAGTCACTCTACATACAATGCGCTTTTTAACCTTTAAAACAACTTGCTAAAAGATTGCAGAGAAAAAAAACCCTGAGGGAACTCCAGAGCCATTCAACTCCAAAATCAATGTTCTTGCCATCACACCTTGATGCGCAAAGTCACTGTCCTCTAGGCCTCTGCCTCCCTGAATCTAGTCTCAGGTGGGCTTCTGTTTGGAGCTCTGAGCCCTGGGAACCAGGAGAAAGAAATGCAGGACCTTAATTCAAAACTCTGATAGGGCTCTTCCTAAGTATTTTCAAGTTTCAATGAGAGAGAAAAGAAGAGTACTTACAAGCTGAGCAGTCCTGTCAAAGCCAAAATCTTTATCCTTACAGAAAATTCAATTGGGAGAAGGGATCCTGGAAGTCACCTAGAGAAGAAGGAGAAGCCTGATGTTGGTTTTCTTTGGGATAATGCTTAAAATCTGTTACTAGTGTTTGAGAAATCCTAGCTAATAAGAAAGTATCCTTTCTTATTACTACAAAAGTAATACATACCTTTAAAGTATATTTTCTTTTAGAAAATACCAAAAAGTTTAAAGAAGAAAATGCAAAATTACTCTTAACCCCACCACCAAAAGACATCCCTTGTGATATATTTCCTCCCTGTATTTTTTTTTCCATACATAAATGTAAACTGTTTACAAAGCCAGGACCTCCTGTATCCTGCTTTTATTCCCACTTAACCATTATATAAGAAGCATTTTTAATATTTTTGTGAAGATTATTTGAAAGGGCGACATAAAATTTTTAAGTGTTTACGATTACCACTTGATGGAAAGGGAAGAAAAGATCGCTGTTACTGTTGTCAGAGCCAGAGCAGTGCAGTGTGGCCCAGAAGATACCCTGTCCCCCTCGTGCCTGCTGATAGGAAGGAGACCACAGCTGCAGGCTCTTTCTGGCAGAAAGGCCCCTGAGCCTTCCATCCAGGCTGCAGTGCTGGCTGAGCAGCCCAGCCAGTTCCTGGTGGGAGCAGTCTGAAGACGTTTGCACTCTCAAAGACCTGTCCTTCTCTAACTGTCCATAGAGAGAGATGTTTGAGGTTTGGAAGGAACTTGGACTAGCTCAGAAGTACCCGGAGGATTAGGCCATGTTGCTAAGGGTATCTCGGCACCTCACAAAAGGCTGTTGTGGGGCTTCTGGAAAAAACCTAGGTCTGGTGGACCCTGGCACTCTTCAAGGAAGGCTCCAAGAGAATAGCAAGGGGGCAGCTAGAATGTGCAATGTGCTAAGAGGTGTTAGTCTAAAAATTCATTTGGATGACTTGAGGGGGGTCACACGAAGCGTGTGCAGGCAGTTGTCAAAGTGCCCATGGTTGTGGTCTGTTCTGGCTTGGAGTTCCTCCTGATTAGGAGGGATCTGGCCAGTACTGCAAGACCCCTGGATTTAATTTTACCTGTCTTATTCTTTAAGAAAAAAAAATTATATATGGGAAGCATCCCGTTCTTTCAGAATTTTGAATGACTTTGATACAGTGATTGAAAAGATATTCTGACCTGCCTGGGGCGATGTAGGACTCTGATCCTTACCAAAGCTGCAAAGGAAGCATGTGTTGGCCTGTTGATTGACTCCTGTTGACCTTGGACAAGACACAGGACTCCCCTGGGGCCTTGGAATGTTTTGTGCAGCATCTTTTGAAAGGCAGAGCCTTTCGCTCCACATGGTTGCTATGGGGCTGTGGTGGCCCCAGCTGGGTGTGATCAAAAGGGTGCAACATGTAATGACTTTGTTGGTATTTTCAAATGACATTCAAGACTCAAATGTCCGCAGTGTAGATGAGTGCCAACAGGCTGTGGCATTGGATCTAGATGAGGATCAGCTTGTGCCTCTATCCCTTGCACACCCTGTGACTTTGGCTAAGTCCCTACCATGTCATTTTACCCATTTCCCCATCTACATAGAGCTACATTTAAGGGATTTTTTGTTGTTGTTGTTGTTTATTTTACCAAAGGGGCAGATAATATCCACTGATCCTATAAAAAGCCCCAGGACAGCAGTATGACAAGGCCTAGAGAGGTCACACTGGGAAAAGACCTGGGATGGACATGTCTTAAAGCCATGGAACCAGGGCTACATAATTTTTGTGCAGCCCAGTGCAAATGAAAATAGGGAGCTCCTTATTCAAAAAGTGTGTGGGGGAAGTATCATTAAAGATGTTAAAAGATAAAGCTTTTTTCCTTTCTTTCATGATCTCTCTCTCTCTCTCGATTTGACATGGTGCTTTTATTTGCTATTTAATGTCAGTATAAGAAAATTAAAATTTAATTTTAAATTATTGGCATGAATTTTACTGTTCATCTTTATATTGTGTGATGCTAGTTTTAAATGGAAATAGGAAAGCACTTACCTTGTATGTTAATTCACGCAAATTACACAATTCATATTTTGTAGCTTATACATGGCATATGTAGTTTATTCTTCCTAGAACAGTGGAAATGCTGACAAAACAAACTCAATGGTTTTTATTTCGTTTCTTTCCACGCACTCTTTTTTTTTTTAAATATTTTATTTATTTATTCATGAGAGACAGAGAGAGAGGGGGAGAGAGAGAGAGAAGCAGAGGGAGAAGCAGGCTCCCAAGGAGCGGGGAGCCCAATGAGGGACTCGATCCCAGGACCCTGGGATCATGACCTGAGCCGAAGGCAGACGCTTAACCATCTGAGCCACCCAGGCGCCCCATTTCCACGCACTCTTTATGTGTGCATTTCCCACCAAGTTTGGCTTTCTACTGAGTAAGGAAAGGAAAAGGAAGTATTCCCTACTCTTACCCTACTCTTTCCTTCCACGTCATCATTTGCAGCACAAGCGGTTGGCTAGTACTGGGTAGAAACATAAGTAAGAAAGGAGATGATGGGGCTTTAGGTCATTTGTGCTTCTTATTGCTTTCTTTCTGTATTTGAAGCAATTTCTGGTTTGAATGGGAAGCATGCCTCTTGGGACTGTCAGCATGTCTGCCTGCTTACTTAGTTAAAGACCTGACAGTCTTACCTTATACTCAAGCTGGGTCTTGCTGAATTCTCATGCACTGTGGGGCCACCGGAATTCTGTGCTTGCTCATGGGGCATCCTGAATGCTACGTGCAACTGGGGCTGC